CTTCAATAGTCATCTGCTATGTAAGGATATGGTCTCGCACCACGGCCATCTTTCGCCAACAGTCGGGATCTAGGCACCGTTGTACACCAGGTATTCACGGACCTTGCGTGAATCGATGAAACTGTTTCTATCTGACACGTGTACATAGGGGTGATGTCATATATGTGTGGTACGGCTTCGGCCAGAATTGCGACCATTCTTTGTCATGAACAGGTATTGATTGGAATGAGCTTGAGTTCATTCTAGGTTTCGGTGACCTCGGATATCGAAGGATGGGTATATGGTCTCCATTCTCTTCATTTCTACCTTGTGATTTTAGATCCCATACAGCGGCGGAGCATTATAAAATACACTAAGCAGAAAAGGTTTAAGCTTTGAAGGCTGTCTTGAGAGCCAGGCACAGTTCGGATGCATGGCCCGAGATTGCCTGGCACCTGGTTCGTGGCATGGCACAAAGAAGCAGGAGGCTTCGAAGCTTCGTGCCTCTCCTTTTTTCATGTCCTCTGTACCTGTTATACATATTTCCATGTGATCACGGCCTTGGTTCGGCAAAATAACGGCGGTGCCTTACTTTGACGCCACAGTTGTTGAGGATAAGTAACTTTTTCGCCACCTAGAAAGCAACCTGATCAGAGACCTTATGACATGTCATAGATTCAACTCAGCTTCAGGGTCTTTTTCATGGAGATGAGTCTTCGCTTCGAGCTCGAGTTCACAGTGCGTTACTCAGTAGCAGTCTGATTCTCAAATGAACTTTATTGTGAGATGCCATACACGTATCCACATGCACATGCACATGCAGACGGCTGTTACATGTGGCTATTCTCAATAGCCAGATGTTTAGAGAGGGGCAACCTATTTGTAAAAAGGATTGCGTTTCTTAGACTATATATGGACAAAATAATGGTTGGGTAGAGTCTGTACAAGCGAATTGAGGCAGGTGAGTAAAACACCAAAAAAAACTCCACAATGTAAATTTCAAGGACGGGCCGTCGTGGAGCCGAAGCCTGAAGCTTGAAGCTTGAAGCGCCACAAAGTGAATTCCACGCTGTCCTTTATGTACGACACGTTGTTTCTTGGACCCGACAGTACATACATGGATTACCAGAGGCCAGCTTACAAGGTCCCAAGATGAACAAGCCTCATTTCGAGAAAGGATCCTATAGTAACCAACGCTTAAGCGGATCATTCAAAATCAATCATTTTTGCTGATAGTGCCATCATTGGGTAAAATTTGACAAAATTTTCAAGGAATTTTCGGCAAATCGTCGTTGGAAATTACAAGTATGTCGCCCATAATTCCCGAGAGTATGATCGGAATAGTCATTGCCCAACTGGAATATGGAGATGCAACTCCGAAAAAAAAACTTCCGGTCCGAAGAATTGTTGATGTTTGTACATATTTCTTTCACTAGCGCCTTTCGCCTGATTTGGGTATTAACAATAACTTGTCCCATGGATACATCTGTCCCTGACAGTTTCTCATGACCCCATATTGTAGCTCACACCATCGGCAACTCTGAAGGGCTGATTTGTCCGTGGGCCCACACTTCTAGGCACACATACTACACTTGTTCACATTTCGGTTACTGCCCATTGACGGCGCCCGGAATACTTGCCGGGAATAGCACGCGGTACACTGATAGATCTTCCACAAAAGGGCCTTCCGATTGCGATGGAAGGGGTGGTAAGGTACGTTGGCAAAACGACATCTACTCACACACTATCTCCGCACATTGCTTGGGCTGCTTGTCCTCTCTGAGGATTCTACAGAGTTGCAGACTGGAGATGTTATTCTCTTCCTATTTATATCTCGAGGCTTTATTTTTTCCCTTTGGGCGATCGGACATTTTCTTCCTCATCCTCGCTTACCCCGCATCACCCGTAAGCTTACCGCATCACCTGCCAAGACGCATGATGCATGCGCTAGATTTTCATGTAGCTAAAAATAAACTCCACTCTCCTTCCGGCCGGGACTCAACCAGGGTTATTTATTTAAATGAACATACGATCGCCCAACCTTCTTCGACCTTTCCTCGCCCATTTTGGTGTGGATTCTTCTCCTCCCTCGCAAAAGTCCTTTCTTCACAGTAATCAAAGTAATGGCTGGTGGTCCAGGAGGAGATGGCGCGGGAGTGGAATCCAAGTCCCTCTTCTGGTCTGTGGTGATGTCTGCCTTCGCAGGTACGTACTTCCACTTCTCCTGCTGTTTCTTTGAACTCACATGTCTTGAACAAAGCTTTTGGTGGCATTCTCTTCGGGTATGTATTCCGTGTTCAAAGCTTGGTTCTCACTTTGACGACCTTGCCCCGCAAAGCTATGACACTGGAACCATCGGTGGTATCATGGTCATGACTGATTGGCTTCAACTCTTCGGTATCTTTGATACTTCAGGAGAAAACCTTGGCTGGTACCTTCCAACCCCTGATCAGAGTTTGGTGGTGAGTAGTGCTTTTCTTCTGCTGACGAAGAAACCACATTTTGTGAGTTTAGGTATCGATCCTCTCCGCGGGAACTTTCTTCGGAGCCTTACTTGCGTACCCTATGGGTGACTATATTGGTCGTAAGTGGGGTATCATCGCTTCTTGCGCAGTTTTCTCGCTCGGTGTCGGCTTGCAACTTGACACTCGTTGGGCGACCTTCATTGTTGGACGCGGTGAGTACGACTTCAGTCCCATTCCAATTGTGTGTTGACCAGTCCACTGCAAACAGTCATTGCAGGTCTCGGTGTTGGTCTCGTTTCTTGCCTTATTCCGATGTATCAATCGGAGTGCTCTCCAAAGCACTTGCGCGGAGCCATCGTCGGTCTCTACCAGCTTGCCAGTGGGTTTAACTTTGAAACGGAATTAGTTCGTCGAGCTTATCTTTCATGTAGTCACCATTGGTGCTCTTCTTGCCGCTATTGTTCTAAATGCCACGAAGAGCCGACCCGATCATTCATCGTGGAGGATTCCCATCGCCGTTCAATTTGTCTGGGCTGCTATCCTCGTCATTGGAATGGTGAACCTATGTCCATCTTGTCGGGATATGGACGCTTGGCTGACACTTCAATAGTTGGTTCTTCCTGAGAGTCCTCGTTTCCTGCTCAAGAAGGGCAGAGAAGCGGCCGGCAAATCCGCCCTTGGTCGCCTCCTTACTCGACCCGTTGACTCGCCTGAAGTCACAGCCGAGTTTGATGAGATCATGGCTGCCCTTGAAGCCGATCGTCAGCTTGGAAGCGGCTCTTACGCTGGTGTGTCTATCCTTTTTACACCACCTTGATCAAGCCAACGTTCCAATAGATTGTTTCCGCAACACCGATGGCAAGAACGGTCTTCGAACCTGGACTGGTATCCTTCTTCAAGGAGTAGGCACTCCGTTTGAATGTTGACTTTGTACATGTCTGACCTCAAATTCCACCAGTGGCAACAATTGACCGGCATCAACTTCATTTGTAAGTAGCTGATACTCTATCTATTCTCATGCCAATGCTTACCACATTCTCTGATAGTCTACTACGGCACTGTAAGTTTTACCCTTTTCAATGCGAATAATCGTAATCGGCTCCCTGACTCGTAAATTATAGACGTTCTTCAAATCGGCTGGTATCAAGAACCCATTCATTATCACGTAAATGATTCCATTCAATCTTATTTAACGTGAAAGCTAACATCCATATCAGCATTATCTGTGATGTCGTCAACACGGCTACTACCATAGTCGGTACCCAGCTCATCGATAGGGTCGGCCGTAGGCGCCTCCTCCTCATTGGTGCCGCTGGTATGTGTATTTGCGAATTCATTGTCGCTATTGTAAGTTTCCATGCCGTCGGGGTCGAGAACTATATTCACGTGCTTTTCATAGGTCGGTGTTACCGCTGGTCACATTCAGCCCGATCACTCGGTGAATTTGCCTGCTCAGCGTGTCCTGATTGCTTTCGTGTGCATGTGCGTAGTCTCTTCTCTTTCCCTAAGGGTCTGGACAGCTGACTTGATGGTACCTTCAGCTACATTGCGTTCTTCGCCACCTCTTGGGGACCTGTCGTATGGGTGCTTACCGGTGAACTTTCTGTAAGTATATTTAATCGTGTGGATTTCAAACCGGTCAGCTTATGGAATGTGCCAGCCCCTTAACATTCGTGCCAAGGCCATGTCTCTCGCTGTAGCCAGCAACTGGCTCTGGAATTTCGGTATCGGTAAGCTGCATCTTCATTGTCCGGAAGACCTTTCCTCACACGATTGTCTTCTGTAGGCTACGCTACACCGTACCTCGTCAACCCCTCAACTACGGGTGTCCTTGGTGTTAAGACCGCCGACCTCGGTGTGAAGGTGTTCTTCATCTGGGGTTCTACTTGTGCTGGATGCTTCATCTTCACGTGCGTCAGATCGCAATGTCCTTACTTCGGAATGTTTCACTGACGCACCTTGAATAGATACTTCTTCGTCCCTGAAACCAAGGGTCTTTCCCTCGAACAGATTGATCTCTTGTACCGTGAATCAAGCGGTACGTCCTAGCTTTTATTCCATCAATCAAGTTGATTCTCATTATTCTTCAGTCCTCAATTCCGAGAAATACCGCGCGAGGATTCTTGCTGATAATGAGACCTTTGTGCAACACGTCAAGGGCGCTGCTCACGAGGTAATGGAGTCCGGTCGTCAACGTTTGAATCCGGGCTAATTCGTTCTTTTTCTTAGAACCTTGAATACACAGATGAGAAGGCTGCGTGATTTTTAATGTACATGACGAGTTTCACTTTTTGGGGTGGTTTTACATCCGTTATATACCACTTTATATAATTCACATAATTGGATGAATAGCTATTTACACATACATACATACGTACACTGTCTCAACGTCTGAACGACATGGACTTGCTCACAATGAAAATATGATTCTGAACGATCCTAGTCTGGACGCCCAGCGCGTGAATCAGGTGTTACAGACACTTGACATCGTCTATTTGCCCATTTCATGGATGCAGAACTTGGTGTTGCAGGTCGTCCAAAAATAAAAAATCCCGATCCGACTTGCCTGGATCGAACAGGCGGCATCAAGATTTAATGTTTCCTTTACAGTCTTGCGCTCTACCAACTGAGCTAAAGTCGGATTATTTTCCTTACTTTGTACATCTCATCTTGTTACATCCTGATCATCTACCTCGAGCGCTTGGAATCTTCGCCCAAATATTGCGAACATGGTGAAGTGACTCATGATATAACAGTAGGCATTTCTCACCTCGAGGTTTCATCCTTCGTGATACATAACATCTACATTGACTCCTCGGGTGTCCGAGGAAGTCTTTCGAATGGACAATACATGCCGAATACTGGCACGGCAACGATTTTGTACTTCGAGACCCAATCAGAAATCATTGAAGAGTCCTTGGAGGCTCTGTGAGAATCAGCTGTAGTATTAACCAGGATAGTGACTCGGTTTCCCTGGGAGAAAGAGGGACAGGCCATGATATTGGCTGGCCAAGACTATCACTTGAGCGAGGAGTATACTGGAGTGTACATATCTCAGAAGAATTTATAGATTGGAGCATAGTGACTCGAGTTCAATGAGAATCTTCGGTTTTCTCAAAAACAACCGCTAAATATTCGTCAAGGAGAGTTACGGAGTCGGAATGAAATTTTGTTACCTCTATGAGCCTGTAAGACTGTAAGACTTCACAATGCGCAAACCTGATTAAATACATGGCACAACATCAACCGACGAGTCAAAGAGAAGGTGAGCACAGGGGAATCAACTACACTAATACAAAGGTATATACATCTGGGACAAAGGGAATAGATATGTAAGTAGGTTCACAATAAAGTCCCAGTTATCAAACTAGAAGCACAACAAACAGGGCCCGGGGTTCCGTATCCATGCCATAGGAGGTGTGTGAGTGTGAGTGTGTTGTGTACGAGTAATCTATATATATCAGTTGAAAAAGTCTATCATGGCTTGGGTAACTTCGCGGGAGTGGCTAATTGTAATATCATGGCCCGCACCCTCAAACGTGATCAGACGGGAGCGACTCCGTGTCGATGGTTGGAGGAGTGACATGATTTGTGATGCGTAACGTGCGTTGACCGTATGATCACTCGTGCCCTAAAGCTAAGGTCAAGAGACGGGAATTGTTCATGAGCAACTTGAGGCGTACATGGATGACGAGGACCGCACGATTAGCGAAACCTTCAGAGGCGAAAGAAAACCCTTGCCCACGGATGGGTCCATCTCGGAGTGAAGAGGATAAGGCAGCATTATATCCGGCTAGATGGGCGGATTGCAGTCTAACGATCTGCTTAGAGTCAGAAGATGCTCGCTACAGTAGGAGGGAAGAGAACATACTTCGGTAACAGGATCTTCTTTCTTTTTTGTTTCTGTTGCTGCGAATGAGGTGTGATTTTTGGTAGCGAGACGTTGAAGATATTTCTGAAGGCGAGTCAGAGGTTCGCACAGGTCTAGATTAAGGGTGAACGCGAACCTGGAATGGTACACTTGCAGCCACGGTTTGCACGAACGGAGAAGACATAAATTTTGCAGTTCGAGATATGTCAGTTGCCTGTGTCATGGAATGTGAACAACTCGATGATCTGGGAAGGAGTTTCTCACCTCCATGATTCCAGCAGACGCGATGAGAACGAGCTTATCGTCCACGAGGTGCGGGAATTGTGCCGTGAATGCCATGGCAATCCCACCGCCCTAGAAGATTATTCATCAAACATGGTGTAAGCACGGATTTGTCTACACGGACCATGGATACACCTGCGATCATAGCCTTATCCCATTGTAGATATTGCATGAGGAGAGCAAGCTGAACTGTAAAGAGCTTGACATCGTATGTCGTTTCAGGAGCGTCGGAGTATCCGCGTCCATACAAGTCTGATTTCACACATACATAAGCGCTTCGGCGTTAAGAAAAAGAGCGGACCATAGGCCAAAACACGAAATCCACGCGACGCAAGTTCTGGTGCAACGTCCCTCCATATCATAGCGGGAATTGACAGTCCATGAATTAAAATGACCTGTCGTTTGTGAGCTAACTTTAACCGCCGATCGTGCTATGATCACGCAGACCTTCTGGCCGTTCTCAGGACCGAGTAACCAGTATCGCACCTACGGACATGGTCAATAGCGCTCAAAGCGTAGTTGTATGGACGTACACGTCCATAAGGCAGTATTGCATAGGCACCGCCGGTGAAGAAGTCCTCCGGATATATTGACCAAGACTTGGCATCAGGCGGAAGGCTAGCAAGAGATTGATGAACGTAAACTGGCTCTGGAGGATGCGGGAATGCGGAGAGAATATATGTGGCAATGAGAAGTGGCGGAATCACTAGAAGTGAGAGGGTCACAGTTTGAAATAGGTTGGGAGGCATTCTGATATGTCGTGGCGCATGTTCTCTGCTGGACACGAGAGTTTTTGTTTAATTTCCCTTGCTCACGTGGCTGTATTTGGCTTTGGTTTCTGAAGTACACGTCGCGTAAACGACGGAACCAAATCGGAACCGCCACATTTCGGCATTTCACGCAGCGACCGCTCTGATGCCTCACCTGAGCTCAATTTGGACCAAATTTACGAGTGTCAATACACAGTCAAGAGCTATATGTACTGAATCTGTGTTTTACCATGCTTCACTAATCCTGCCATAGAAATTCTCCTCGCACTCGTCCAGGTCGCCGTCATGAGAGTCAGTATCGGAATTCGATGTCCAATCTTTCTCACTGCCAGGATCACACCAACCGCCCCATCTGGATTGGTTCGCAGCTTCGTAAGCCCTTTCGTTGATCTCCCGGTACTCTCGTTTCCATGCAGCCACACTCTTTACCCACACAACATTCTGCCTATGCTGCTTCTTCCCTATAAATTCAACCGTTCCAGCCCAAGGACAACGTACGCGCCCGCGAATTCTGCCGTCTCCAAGGAATGTGATGCTCGCTACGTTATCGTCACCAAAGCACGTCTCACCGGTGCCTTCATCTCGTCCTTTCCAGTGGAGCTCAGTCGTATCTCCGACGTGTTTTGGAAGCGCACCGTATGAGCGCATTATGCCTGAAAAAATGCCAAAGTTGAACCAGACCCATAGGTGAGACGACCCTTGCGAAGTAGACATTTTGAGTGACATTTCATTTGTTATGTCGCTCCACTGCTCACGCAGATATGGTGCCATGATAATGTATTCGCCTCTATCATCGCCTTTATCATTGAGGCGTTTCTATGTTCATTATGTCAGATTCAATATCCTTTCCTTATCGGGAATACACTCACCGGAGTATTTCCCTTGCCCTTACCCTTTGTTTTTGCTGCCTGAGACGCCTTGAAAGCTTGCTCCTCCTTCATAGCGCGCATTTCTTTAACTGCAGCTTTCTTGAAAGTAGGAGATCGTTTATCAAAAAGGAGCTTTTCGACCAACGCGCGAAGTTGAGTCTCCGTTAGAGCACCAAGGTCTTTGCGAACTTGAAGATCAGAGATTGGTGTTTTGGTGGTACGACTTTTTAGCTCGGATACTTTCCCTTTTGCAATGACGATACCCGCTGCCGCAAACTCCTTGATCATTCCCTCAACCTCTTCTTTCCTCTTCTTCTGCTCCTTCTCGAGTTCAATTTCCCTTTGTTTCTCCCATGCCCTACGTCGTACCTCTTCACGTTCCCATTCCTCATGAGCCTTCTTCATTGCGGCTTCATTTGCAATCCTATATTCCTCCTTCAACGCCTTTTCCAGGTCCAGAATTCGCTTTGGAACCTCCAACGTCTTTGTTTTGGGATTGAAAGCCTCAAGCAAATGTTTCTTCGCCGCTGGACGCGTCTTGTACTGCTTCAGCCCATAATGTAGGCACTGAGCCTCGTAGAAATGAAGTGGATTGTCCTTGTGTGGCGGCGGCTGTTTTTTCGCGACCTTGCCTGCCTTTGTGAGAACTGGACCGGGATCGGTCCATGTGAGGAGTCGATAGAGAGAGTCAGAGTCACAGCGTGGATGGTGGTGGTAATCAATCTTGACGGAGAAGGTTGTACCATCGTAGGAGAACCCGTCGCGTGAAACGGACGAGGCGTAGTAAGAAGAGTCTGAGCCCCAGCCCGACATTGTAGTTCGGTACAAAGAAAACAGGACTCATGAGCCCCTTTTTCTGGGTTAAATTAATTGCAAATGGTGGCCAGAAGAAAACGTGACCGTGTCGTGGTTGATCGATGTGTCGATATTTAAATCTTCATAATGCAGAGGCTCCGCCTGACGGATACGCCTCTGTCAATGAATCGTTTCATCGGCTCTTCTTCCACATCGTTAATTCTCAAACTAGTGCTATGGAATTCAAGCTGTGCAGACTTCTTGATTTTTTATTGGTCCAGTGATATTATATGTCGATATGTTAAGTACTACGCTTAGTTATCGCTCGCGTCGTGACTTTCGCCATGGCCCCCATCATCCTGATCACCGCGTCCGTCCTCGTTATCATCGCTCTCATCTTCGTCCTCACTTTCATCCTCGTCCTCACTCTCATCCTCGTCCTCACTCTCCTCCTCACTCTCGTCCTCTTCCTCAGACCCGTATAGATCAGCCTCGTTAGGGTCAGTGTCAGAATTTGGAGTCTGTTGCCTCTCGTCACCAGGGTCATACCAACCACCCCATCTAGCCCGGTTCGCAGCTTCATACGACCTTTCATTGATTCCGCGATACTCACTCTTCCAGGAATCCACATTCTTCACCCACGCAATATTTGACTTGGGTCGTTTCTTTCCGATGAGCTCAAAAGTACCGGCAGCTGGTGCACACATCTTTCCACGAATTCGACCATCTCCAAGGAAAGTAATGCTGACCATATTACTGTCGCCGAAAGACGTTTCACTGGTACCACTCTGTTGACCTTTCCAGTGCAGCTCTACCGTGTCGCCAACATACTTTGGAGGTCGACCATATGAGCGCATGATACCTGAGTGGATACCAAAGTCGAACGAGGCCCAAAGATGAGATTGACCGGGTGAGACGGACATCTTGAGTGTCATCTGGTCCATGGCACTGCTCCATTGTTCGCGCAAATATGGTGCCGTCATGATGTATTCGCCATAAGTGTCGCCCATGTCGCTGAGTAGCTTCTGTAATCTGAAAGTCAGGTTCAATTACG